AACATTAAATGAATATATTGTCTCATACTATAGAATTAGAATTTATAATCCCTATTCCATGATGAGATATCTTTGAGCTATAATGTATCTTAATTAAACCTATCTTTAGATAGGTTTTTTCCTCCAAAATCATTTTATCAAAAAAATCCGATTTAAATAAAAAAAAATATTTTTTTTATCATTGATTTTTATCCACCCTATTTCATCCTCTGCCTGGTAGATATCTGGTAAATTTACAGCCTAATCCTATCCTCTTGCTGCTGTAAGGAAAAAGGAGTATTCTTTTTCTGTTCACCAGTCCTCCAAAGTTTGTAGCTGCCAATGTGATGATGGTCTCCTCCCGTTTTACCCCTTTCTTTGACTGTGGCTGTCTGGAAGGGTGGGTTGGTTGTGTGTTTCCACTGTTCTCCCAGATTTCATTTTGAGTCCTCTTCCCCCATGAATAGTATCTGTGCCTGTCTCTGCTGCTGCTCATAGCTTTCCCGAATGACAGCAGAATATTGACCTTACAGCCAATTTCACTGCTGTCCACTAGATTCTGAATAGCAGCAGTTAAAATCAACAAGACTGGTGTTTTTTTCTCTTCTTTTCTCTTTTGTCTTTGCTACAAAACTTGATTGTGTTAAAACATGACTGAAGGAGCTCTGCACTTACCTGAGGTCCAAAGCAGTTTAGCAGATCAGATCAGCAGAAAATGCTAATCTCTTCATGAATCATCCTCCAAGGATTTTGTCTTTCAGAGAATTTTTCAGAAGTGGGGCTCTCACACTATAGACATATTCATGACCAGTCTAAGCAACAAATCTCACGTTTTCCTCCACAGGAGGAGTCCAGGCTCCATCTCGGATTCATTTCTGATTCAGTGGAACAAAAATCTTCTCTATGCATTTTCCCTCCAAGCCTTTTAATCCCCAGAGTCCTTAGGAAATTATGACATGACAGGGCTTCAAGTTATGTTAATAGCCCTATTGTAGACACTGCAGTTTTGGTACTTAGAGATGATACACCTATCTCTTTCAACCACAATTCAAGCTGCTTGTCATTCTGGACATTGTCACAGGATGAAGGTCTGATTTGACACCCTAATCCAGTGTCTACATCTCAGTTTGGATGTGCTACTGTTCTGTGTACCATTTTCTATTAAGACTGCATTATTGGTGGCTATTACTTCTGTTCAGAGTGAGTGAAAGTCAAGCATTCATGGTAGGACCGCCTGTGCCACCTCCCAGAAGGATAGTGTTACTCTTCATTCTCATCCTAAACTTCTGCCTAAAGTGGGCTTAGACTTCTATTTAAATCATTTGATTAATTTAGTTCTTTCCAAGACCTTACTAGTCCCTGGCAGAGACTAAACTCCACATACAGACATATTAAGAGCTATCTGTATTCCTCAGTAGGACAAAACTGTTCCACAGATCACACCTTTTGTACCTTTTGTAATAAATCCAGAGGGTGGTTTTTTTCATCAGACTCTCAAAAGGGGTATCAGACTGCATTAGAATTTTGTTATGAACTGAATAAGTTGACCCCACCATCTCATATCAAAGCACATTTTATTAGAATTCAGGCAGTCTTTTCAGCCATTTTAAAAGTCATCTCTTCTACTTGAAATCTGTAAGGCTGCTACTTGGACCTCCATACATACTTTTTCAGCTCATCATTCTCAAGTGTCAGCCTCTAGAACTGATTCACCATTTGCACCATTCACCATTTCCTGGCACTCACCAGAGAGACAGCTTCTTGCCTGTCTCCTAGAATGGGACCTATATAGACAAATACTTGAAGAAAAAATCCGTACAAGCAGCACCACTACATGATGTACAGCTCTACTGACATAACGACTAAAGAACTGTCTCAGTTCATTGAGAAGACATGATCCCATGATGGACCACCACACACACACACACTCTCTCTCTCTCTCTCGTATGGACGTTCCGTTTTCGGTCCGTAGGGC